GGATATAGAAAAAACAGCCATTATTACTCCATTTGGTTTGTTTGAATTTCTGAGAATGCCATTTGGATTAAAGAACGCTGCACAGACCCTTTCGACGATTTATGGATGAGGTCACTAAAGGCCTAGATTTTGTTTTCGTGTATATCGATGATGTATTAATAGCTAGCAGTTAGTTCAATGAACACTCTGATCACCTACATCAATTATTCGAAAGATTTCAGAGATACGGTATAGTTATTAATCCATCCAGATGCACTTTTGGAGTCGAGAGTTTAGAGTTTTTAGGTCACTCGATTAATAAACATTGAATCAAACCGTTAGATACAAAAATAGCATCCATCAAAAATTTTCCAGGGCCAGATTCATGGAATAGACTTCAACGTTTCTTGGGGATGATCAATTTTTATCGTCGCTTTATTCCACATTGCTCAGCAATTCTGCAACCTTGGACGGAGGTGTTAAAAGGCAAAGTCAAAAAGTTCGCATTACCCTTCGAAGCAAAAGATGCTTTTCCTGCAGCTAAAACAGCGATTGCTTCTACTACCATGCTAACCTACTTAAACCCTGATCCGGAAGCAACACTAATTCTGTGTACAGATGCATCCCAGGCAGCAGTAGATGCGGTACTACAACAGCGAGTAAATAATGAGGTCAAACCACTTGCTTTCTTCTCAAAGAAGCTAGAACCAACCCAAACTCGATATAGTACTTTTGGTAGAGAATTATTGGCTATTTATCTAGCTGTTAAACATTTTAAACACTTACTGCAAGGCAGAGATTTCGTGATACTCACTGATCACAAACCTTTAACCTATGCCTTTAACGCTAAAAGTGATTGTTATTCCCCTAGAGAAATGCGACAACTAGACTATATTTCTCAATTTTCGACCAACATACAGTTTATAAAAGGTGAGTCAAATGTCGTCGCGGATACTTTGTCAAGTTTCAACGTCGATGTAATTTCCTTCACCAAAGGAATCGATTTATTAGACATAGCACGTTTATAGATAGATGATTTTGATCTTGTTGCTTGGAAGGAAAGTTCGAGTCTGGTCTTTAAAAGTGTTCCTATACCACATTCTGACTCTACTATAATTTGTGATACTTCGACTGGAACACATAGACCATTTGTGCCAATAGTGTACAGAAAACGTTTTTGATTGTCTTCACTCACTATCTCATCCAGGGATTCGTGCTACTGTGAAACTGATTGCCGAAAGATTTGTTTGGCCAAAGATGAATGCAAATATTAAAAAATGGACCAGAAATTGTGTACAATGCCAGCGCAGCAAAATTCACAGACATACAATTACAACACCATCAAAATTCAATCTACCCTACCATCGTTTTCAACACGTTCATGTTGATTTAGTTGGTCCTCTTCCTCCATCTAACGGATTTACTTACATTTTTACTGCACTGGACCGTTTTACCAGATGGCCAATTCATACCCGATAAAAGACATCTCCGCGGAAAATGTTGCTGCCGTATTCCTCGAAAGATGGATTTCTAATTTTGGTGTACCTTCTACAGTTACTTCTGACAGAGGTTCACAGTTCCAATCTCACCTGTTCAATGAATTTACACGCATTTTGAGAATCCATCACATCACTACAACAGCATACCATCCAGCAGCAAATGGACTATTGGAAAGATTCCACAGACAACTGAAAATCTCGCTGATGGTACAACTTGATGTTACCAGATGGAGTGAATCCCTAACTCTGATTTTACTGAGCATACGTTCTACAATCAAGGAAGACCTCCAATGCACACCTGCACAGCTCGTTTATGTAGCTAATTTAACCTTACCTGGTCAACTAGTAATGCATAACGACAAATCCCTATGTACGAACTCCGCTTCTTTTTGCGAAAGACTAATGAGCTATATGAATAACATTAAGCCTGTTGCACCTCGACCAGTTGTCTTCAAAGAGCAAATTAACAAGTATCTAGATACATGTAAATTTGTATTTGTTCGTGTTGACTCCGTAAGACGTCCTTTACAAAACCCTTATGAAGGACCGTATGAAGTACTGGAGAGGTAAACAAAATATTTCACAATCAGGAAGAATGGAAAAAAAGGGACAGTTTCAATTGACAGGATAAAACCTGCTTTTGTAGAGTCTGAAACACATTGTAGTCGAAAGCCGTCTAAAGACAGCGGCAATCACACAACGCAGCTTCCTGTGTTTCCAGCTAATTGTTCACCTACTCCTGTGAAACCAACACCTCTTAAAATGGATGATGCTAAAGTTACAGCTCCCACAAATTTAACTCCTAGTTCCACCACTTTACCTACTGTGAAAACAACTCGTACAGGAAGGCAACTACATTTTCCCAAACGTTATGTTGAATTTCCCACTTAATCTTCCTTCTGTCATTTTCTGTAGGGAGAGTAAATATCTATATTAGCAGAGTTACTAATAACATTTTTTGCAAGCAATTTGAAAAAAAAACACATTTCGTATGTACTACTAACATTGATAAATTCATTATATTTTCTCTACATGTGTATGCGTTTCATATGATGTTTATTATTAATTGTGTAACGATATTCAACTTCGTTGGATTCGTTCAGTTTATCACTAATTGTTTATACGATATAAACATGTATCTACACTTTTTGGTGAACTATCAATTTAATTACCTTTATTATTAATAACACTTATTATTATACATTCCGTTATTGTTGTTAAGCCTTTTATATACACTGAAATAAGAAATACAATTTTTTTCTTTACTACAAGAAAAACGTTTTCGTCCGTAAATATATAAACACATATGAATTTTTTTCTGATAACATTTGTTTATTCTTTTCGTTGTGTAATTTTCTTTCCTCCAAAGCATTTAGAGTTCTACGTCGGGCATATTTCCACTGACGCATGCCCTAGGGGGGGAATTATATGGTTACGTATATTCAGTGATTTTTGTAATGACAAAATAAAAACCGCACTTTTTCTCTAATTTGTCACACTTTATATGTAACCACATTTTTATTCAATATCTATTGTTTTTCTGTATCATTTGTTTAAAAACGATTATAATTATTTGGATACTTATATACGAATATTCTACCGCGTTGGTTGAAATATGAAATACTATCTCCGCCGTCTGTTCTTCTGCTTTATTGGCCACGGCCTTTGATTGAAGGCTATAATAGTGTTATAACGTCCTTTTAGGCCTTCCTACACTACGTTGGATTTTTGGCCCGGATTATTTTTATATAATACTATTGGATCCCGTCTTTCTCGTTGCGCCGTTGATGCCATCTCGTGCAGAGGAATCTTCGTTAATCAAGTGAACTCATTTGTGGTTGTTATCTCAGAGAGCGGCTTCATTTCATAACAACTGTTATTATCTTGTTGTCTAATATACCATTTGTATTCTAACTGTAATTTGTTGACTTTTGGTTTTACTCATAGACAGACACCTAGGGTTTTTACTGTTAACTATTTTGGTATATTATTAATAACCCTGCGTATTGATATATCTTGAATAAGCTCTTTTGCTGGGATCCACCACAGGCATAACAAAGAAGTATATTAATCTCGTACATGTTCTCTACTCGAATACTAATGGTCGAGTCAGAGCTTATGAGGAACTTTCATTGGTATTGATAACTTCAATTGTGTTTGACAGAGTCATTTTCTTTCTCCATTATTAATCAACTTTGTAATAGACATTCTTTCAAATATAACATTCTCATTCTGGAGTTGATCTCCTACCAGAAAGTCTACTTGTTGATAGAACATTCAGATGAAATGGTGAAGACGCTGATGAAACACAGTCTTTTAACCTCCTTGAGCAATAATTTAAGCATATTTGAAATGCGTTTTTGTTTCTCTAATTACGAAATGTGGCTTCACGATCGGTCTGTTTCAACTACTGAAATAATGATAGGAAGTGATGTAACTGAGTGCATAAACTACCTCGCTTGTCATAAAGGTTCCATCAACCCTGATGAGTTGTTGTCTGGCGAAATCTCGGCACAGATTCAGGAAGATCGGTCAACCTTAGCCAAGTTTCACCACTTGTGATGTAGATAAGGTATCTGGCTACCAACGAAAGGACGAGTATGCTGTCCAGTAGCTCATTCCATTCAACTTTATGGCTGTGAAACGTGGTCATTATGAATAGAGGATGTTCGTAGGTTACTGGTATTCGATCACAGATATCTTCGAAACATTGCTCGTGTATTTTGGGACCACCGAGTAGGCAATGGCGAGATTCAACAAAGGCACTAAATAAGTTTGAAAAAATCGATTTATGAGGTAATACATGTTCATCGATCGATGTGGTTGCGACATGTATCACGCGTACCCATCCTTTCAGCCACCTGGTTGGCCTATGTTTGCTGGTGTAGGAGTAGGTTAGAATAGAGTAAAAGGCGAACAAGCCAAAACGTAGCACCAGTCTAAGTAGGTACAGACGGTTTGGCTGGGGTCTGTACCATTTTTCTGGCTATTAGTTAAAGAATTTGGGTGAAATGACTAAGAATCTTTTGGAATGGTGCAGATTTATTCAATCTTTGCCTTCCTCTAATCCTTAAGATCCTGATTGATCTCATAATTCATTTCTACTCCATGAATTCATATTTTCTCCTCAAATCATACCTCCTGCAGCTAATTTCTTTTACTACCATTGATACTATTAATACTTCTACTTCTCTGGGACTTATCGTCACCATTCCTTATGTGACTTGAAATGATGCACATATCTGCCAGGTTATTTGTTACATAGGACTGACTGACACTCGTGTACAAATAAAAAAAACCTATAAAAAGAGACCGAAACTAATCGACCATTCTTTTATCTCCAATCCCGCTTGATGTGAATTAAGATAAACGAACTTACTTCGTTGTGAAATATCTTAAATTACAAATATCGATGTATACCATAGTTAGACAACAAACATTTACAATACTGATTAATGCATGTAGAAACCCGGTCAAATATCAAAGATCAATCGATACTGTTATCGTACTATACATAATGCTCTATCCATTTCTATTATCACCATTATTTATATAAAATAATTTAAACAAAACAAATATTTTGTTATTACCTTTATATCCTTTAACTTGTTTCCATTGATAACCATTACGACATTCACATTCGTAACTATTTTCAAAATATCCAGTTCTTATACATTTACTTGACATTGTATTAACCACTTCAAGACATGGATTAATTAAACATGGATTTGGGCAAAACCCATATGGTAATTGATAATCTCTATTCAATTGTTTAGAATGATATATTGAACATAATAAATATATAAATATAACACTCCATTCATCAATTGTTTTAGGTAAATCACTTTGATTTATTGTATTTTCTGATTTATAACGTAACCATAAATTAGAACTATGAATTATGAATAAAAAATATAATCTCCATGAATGCATTAATAAAATATACCATGATTGACCAGGTATATATCTCTTTGGTATTAATGATTTCATATAAGCTTTTTTAATAAAATTTCTATCATCATTCCAATCTATATTATTAATTCTATGAATAGAATGTAAATAATCTGTATGGTTTATTGGATTTTCATTGATAATTAATTTGAATACATCAAGAAATACTCTTTCATTAAATTGTATTAAATCATTCATTGTTATAGATCTATTCAATATTAACTTTGATAATTCATAATTATAATAATAATAATCTATAATATTAGTTAAATTAATATAAATTTGATGACCAATATATAAATGATGTAAATTTTTTATGAAATTAGTTTCTATAATACCATTATATTGTCTACGTGATTTTCTATGAATCATATCATTGAATGGAATAAAATGTGAAAATAATATATTGATTTTATTGATTGAACGATCTAATGTTAATAAATTTAATTTTGATAACATATTTGAATTTGAAATATTTATTGAATTAAATAAATTTAAGTAGTATAATAAGTAGTAATAAATGATTTTACACATATTGTGTACATAGAGACTACTGTATTCAAATATGATATATATATATATATATATATATATATTTCAAATGTTTTTGGATCGATCAAGTATAGTCTAATCAATACAATTGCGTTAGCAAATCCCTTGTAATTTGTATATATATAGTATATTGATGGTAATAATAAGTGAATGTATTACTTGGTATGGATTTTAGTATTTTTTTTCCCTTCTTAACTGCTGTTTATTTATTTTTTGATCTATACCTATTACAAATATTTTAAACCTTTTCACCACGTTTCATTTAAACAGAATAATATCATTGTTTACTTTATCTAAGTTGAAATTTATCATTTTTTAATTTTTTTTAATGACTAAATGCAGTTCACCAACGTCAAGGCAGCTCTACTGTACGGAGCTGAAACTGGGAGAAATACAACAACCACCATCAAGATGGTACAAGTCTTTATAAATGGTTGTCTACGCAAGATACTCAACATCCATTGGCCGGATACCATCAGCAACAGCCTTCTCTGGGAGAGAACAAACCAGCTTCCAGCTGAGGGAGAAATTAGGAAAAGATGATGGAAATGGATAGGACATACATTACGCAAATCAACAAACTGCATCACGACGCCAGCCCTAACTTGGAATCCTGAAGGGAGGTGGAAAAGAGGAAGGCCAAAGAACACATTACGTCGGGAAATAGAAGCAGATATGAAAAGGATGAATGACAACTGGAAGGAGCTGGAAAGAACTCCCCAGGACAGAGTTGGGTGGCGAATGCTGGTGAGTGGCCTATGCTCCTTCACGAGGAGTAACAGGCATAAGTAAGTAAGTAAGTAAGTAAGTAAGTAAGTAAGTAAATGTAGTTCTGAATATCATTAAACAAAGAAAATGAAACTTTTAACAATAATAATCTATACATTTCAACAAGTCAGTGGTTGTTGTAAGTCAGCAGTATGGTGAATAACTTATTGTCTTCTGAAGCAACAATTACTGAGTTTGAATCTCAATGTTGAGATCAATATTAGGATGCAAGCAAATCTAAATAACGAGTCTTAAATAAGATAAAACTTGTGTTCTAGATCACACTCCTAGCCTTAACACAAAAATATACTCTAACTTACATGTTCAGGAAATATCAAAGTAATCACATGCTCATGTAAATATACCGACAGAGATTGGTAAAATAGTGGCAAATATCAGCAATGAGAAGAAATAAATATTTACAAATATTATTATACTTGACTTTATTACTCGTATCGTTATTCAGAAAATAATTTGAAACTAAGCATTAACATTTGAAAAATAACAACTTTGAACTGTCATTATTATCAATATTATTGTTACCATTAATTATGATTATATCACTATTGCTACCATAATTTCTACCAACATTTTTATAGTTCGTCCACCAAACAAGTAACATTTTATACATGTTCCTTGTGATTGATTACATCATGATGGAAATCACCTTTTCTATTACTGTATCATTTCGATCTATATGATAATACAAAGCACTTACGACCATATTTTAACAGTAAACAGAGTTGTGTTATGTATGGTTCACTCAAAATCATATTGTATAACATTTAATTTGTAGGAATTTAAGCAAACGGATTGAAGTGAACTCACACTTTGAAATGTTCGTCGTTCTCGATGTATTCATTTTAAGGTTAAGAACTAAATGATACAGAATCTCAAACTTCAAGTAATGTCATAGGATTACTTTCATATAAAATATGAATTCCTGATAGTAATTGATAATTAACTACATATCATCATTTGCAATTACTAAATTCTTAGTATGTTTATTTTGCTATTCATCATATAATCTCAGTTCTTTTTTTTTGATAAACTTATTCCATTAATTTCAAATATTTTACTTTAAGCTTATTGATTTACATTGGAACCTTCTCACTCTCTAACAGCTTATCAAAACGTTTGTCCTTTTGTCTTAGTTCACGTTTTAAATGATGAAGCAAATACAAGTTTTATTAATCACATCCAATTTAAATAAACAATTTATTTACCTTATCAGTGAAATTATTTATTTATTTATTTAAACATATAAACATTGGTACATGGGGGCACCAAATAGATATGCGCCACATAAATCATTCTATTTGTGTGAGTGCTGGGATACTGATTGGGTGTCCAAACCGAAGCAGGTGTTTTTCTTAGGGGGCCACACCCGGAGCCTTTGACCTAAAGGTCTTTATCCGCAAGGCAGTGGAGCAACGTCAGTGAAACAAATGCATCCATTTCTCTAATATTATTATTCATAGACTATATAAACTCAAATTTATGATTAGCAAAATACTTCGACTAATGATACAATGATATTTCATGATTATAATCATAATATTTAAGACAAATAAAAGTTACAACATTCTGATAATAATCACCTGCTCACTAGTGACTGACTTCACGAGATACTCCTGAAGTTCTAGTGAGAAGTCGTTACCAGTGGAGTTCAAGAAGGTCTGTTGTGAGGTAGGAACTCACTGAAGACAATGGTGTACGGTGGCGCAACTTTGTGGATTGGTTGAAGTTATACATTAACACCGTTGAATGCCGGCTCAGTGGTCTAGTTGGTTAAGCGCCCGGCGCGAGACTGACAGGTCCTGGATTCGGATCTCGCGGGGGGCGGGATGGTGGATGCGCACTGCTGAGGAGTCCCATACTAGGACGAAACGGCCGTCCAATGCTCATGATTTCAACCAGTAAAAGTTAACCATGTTTTGTTTTTCAAAAGAAGTGCTAAGTAATAATCCGCATAATAATAATTAGAGTCAATAAGCAAATTAATTAGGTTTATAAGACGAAATTTATTTTTGAAAAAAAAATTTCCATTTTGTTAATAGATGGAAATTTCCAAATATCTCAATCTCAGTAGTTTAGAAAACTCCCTAGAATATTAAAAAAAACAAAGAATCTTCTGAGCAAACAATTTCTTTTGTAATCATTTCATCATTAGGCTCTACAATTATAAGTCTATCACTATTGTAATATTTTACAAAGATCAAAATACAGTATGTGTGAATGAATTTGACAATGTTATATGTTGAAAAAATAGGTGAATGTTTGCATCTGTTACGACATTAAATTGTGTTATTTATAAATTAGAAAGATCATTTAATAAAGGTCAGAATAATTTGATTTGTTATGAAAAAATTATGGACTAATAAACAGAAAGAATAAAAAGACTGATAAAACAATGACAGAGGAATTTCGATAATGTAATAAGAAGACGATTATTATCAGAACTATGTGATATATTAGATCAAAACATTCCGAACAAACTAGTCACACATATACTTGTTAAGAACATTTATATATAAAAATAACAGGTCAACTAGACTATAAATGGAGGGTAAGAAGAGACAAGGATAATAATAAGAGTAATAATAATAATAATAATGTGAACACAATTTGAAACCTAATCACTCTGCATAATAAGCCAGTATTACCAGGGTATGTTTAAGGTGAGAACAAACTGTTTTTGAATACACAAAGGGAGTTTGAATTTTCGTCTGACTAAGGCTTCAATAAACCTTAGTATACACCCTTTTACACTTTTATATATAAATGTTCTTAACAACTATATGTGTGATTAGATTGTTCGAAATGTATTGAGCTAATATATCACATAGTTCTGATAATATTCGTCTTCTTATAACATTATTGAAATCCATCAAAGGGACTAATTGCTTTAAATGACAGAGGAATTTGCACTTCAAAAAAACAAAGTGAAGTTTATATGAAGTTGTGAAATTACTGATCAGAATAATACGAAGACATGTGAATAAAGATAGCAAAAACAATTAAATCTGACTAAGAAAAGTTGTATGTATATTAGCCAAATCAGGTCATTCTATAGTTAAGATTAATTGTCCCTAAGGTTGGCCAAGATTAAAGAATGGATTGCATTTTTTTTCCTTTTTATACATAGTTGCGGGTTTTAGTTTAAATGACATTTGCTTTTGCGTTTTGAAGGACTATGATTTTAGCAAACTTTAGCAGAAAATCACTAACCAGATAAACTATTGACAAAGAATGATTTATACTGACGCCTTGATCAGTTAATTCAACAATTTACATTTTACTGTCGATATATGGATGAAATGTTCATCCTCTATAAAGACAGTATATTACAATATGAGATTCTTAGGCAGTTTATCAAAATACAACCAGCCATTACGTTTGCATCTAAAAACGAAGAAAGTGAAATTAGGATAACATTTTCGGACGTTCTATTAACGAACACAGCTAACAGGTTCATAAGAAGACATTCAAACAGGAAACGTACTGTGACGGGATGCACAGAATCGTCATCATATACCTCAAAATAAAATGAGCTATCAGATTTTTGACTAACACTTTGTTCTGTTAATAAAAAACCAGTCCACAAGAGAAGAAATTCAAAATAAATGTCCAAACAATGAAAATATATTTATGAACAAAAACCAATCAAATTCTATGCTGATATAACAATCGATTAATTAGTTGTGGAAAAATACTTATTCTCGAAATACGTCCTGATGGTGTTGTTTAGGAAGACAATGAAAGCTTCACGATTGCATAATCCAGCTCAGAAAATAAGTTATTTCTAAAATCCTCCCCCAGAGGTACAATCTTACACATCATCGTAATTTTAAAAAGCCAGCTAAAAAATAAATTGAATGGATTATTTAACGTAAAAAGTAAAGTACCTGTATCATACTTTCGAATATGAGTTTTCTTTGAAATAGAATTATTGTAAAGTTAACGGAATAGAACTATTCAAATGTTCAAATACAAAACTATTAATTTGACACCAATTGTCTTTCAAATACTCTATTAAAATATTACTCATTGATAATAAATAATAATTGTATTTGAGACCTGTATAAACAGTTTTGACTGGCGTTTAATTTGATGGAAACATAACCGTTATTGATGTGACTTATTCATCAAAATTCCTATCCAATACACATTTTAAAATCATTTTTTGACATTTCTCTCACCTAGAGTATATTCTTTATTCTCCTAGTTAACGTTTATCGACTGACCCAATAGCGTGATTACGTTGTAAGATGACGTACATATCGATCAAGCAAAAACCATTTAAGTTCATTTTCTATTTTAAATAAATATCTGTCAAGGAAAATGGAGAACTTAATATTCAGAACTGAGTGAGTGTTACTTCTTAAACCAAACAACTATCATGCCCACCAGCTAGACATCTAACAAATAAAGACCATTTAAAGAGACTTTCTATTACAAACTGAACAAAGATAAGTTTAAAAATCATAGAAAAACAGTGAGCTCTGAACAGTAACTCTTACACCATAGTTTGAGACTTCCAAGTAGTGTGTATCTTTTAGCACACACAAACACACACACACACGATCAAACCCAACATATTTGGATTTCACATCAACTAAGATATCTCAATGGTATCACAACTTTCAACTTTAATCAATTTGTGATATAACACTATCAGCCACATATTATGTTATTGTCAGTCAGTTACTGTTATATTATCATAGTTTTATTCAGGAATTTCAGTCAGGCTGTAATTCGAGGGTACAAATATGACAAATATTTTATTCCAGTTGGAAATAAGAATAGAATCAGTTACAATACTATACACACTGACACAAGATAATTGTATCCTATCCCTATGGGTGTGTGAACGCATTTGTCATAAATACACAAACCACGCTTGTATGAAGAGTAAAGATATAAATATGATGATAAGGAAGCACATTCACTTGTTTGCCCATAGATATAAGAGGAAGGACACAATCTTCCAACTATTACGAATAATAGCACCTTAACATTTCTTTTATGTAGTGTTGTACTTATCTATTTGGTCAGAGTGCTCTTGTCCTCCTACAAATAATATACACACATAGATGTACGTTATGCGAATAGAATTTCGATCAAATGTGACATGTCAAAACTAATTCTAAAAATAGCGGAACATATTTACCTTTTTCAGTTCTTTTGCTAGAAATATTTATTGTGAAATTTCATTTATAATACAATGACTGTGATATTTCGGCCGTCCTTCATGTTTTACATTTCCCAATCAATTAACTAGACTACTGTCTTTTCTGTTAAATTGTTTAGGTAAACATGTACATGTAAATCTCGATATCAATACCTTTATTTCGTACGCGAACACGGTTTGTGTATTTATGATAAGTGCACCCACATATCCGTAGGGATAGGATACAATTATCTTGTATCAGTGTGTGTATAGTATTGTAACTAATTCTATTCTTATTTCCAACTGGAATAAAATGTTTGTCATATTTGTACCCTTGAATTACAGCCTGACTGAAATTCCTGAATAAAACTATGATAATATAACAGTAACTGACCGACAATGACGTGACACTGACAGTTCCCTATTGTTTCTATACGATATTAATTCCATCCCCTATTTACTAAGAGTTATAACTTTTTTTGTTTGATCGAATTTTCCCATTGATGTTTAGGACTGCAATTGACCAGTCACTTATAAGCATATGTGCATCCTGTTGAAAATGCGATGGCGTTTGGAGTGAACGGTACTGGGTTGGAGTTCCCGAGTGAACATCTACTTCAGCTGATGGATCCCAGGTGGGAATACTGGGTTCTATTGTTAGCCACCATCCGTCCATCTCTGATAATAATTATAACTTTGTTTACCTAAGCTTTTATTTAATTGATCCTTATCAATTATTTATATAAAATGCCTTGATAAGTATCTGTGTGACCTGACTGTTTGAAATGTATAGATGAAATACATCAATTTTTTTTTCAGACCAACTCTCTTCCGATTGTTCTATAAGGATGACATGATATGTAGGTAACAGGGTTACGTCATAAACCGATTAAAATTAAAATTCATGATATCACTAAGACATAACTCAATGATGTGAAAATATCTTAATAGGTTTTGTTCTGATGTCAGGAAAATAACTCTGAAATTACTGTTCAAATTGATTATCCTGTTCAAGAACATTACAAAAACCCCCCAAATCATATACAATCTGTTTTAAATGACTACTCCTGACAATGTCAGTACAAACCATTTGGATTTATATTGCAGTAAAGCAAAACAAGAATAAATTCAATCTTTTAAAAAGTGTTTATTAGTTGAAATTAAGCATTATGAATAGGCTAACCAAATGAACATTATTAATGAGTGTTGTCGTAGTGATGATAAAAAAGTTGGTATAGTCATAGTAGTGATAGTGCACATAGTCACCTCCATCTTCCTTGTATTAATCACCAGTACGTTTTTTGGAAAAACAACTAGAGTGTATGCATATCTCCCTCATACATTCGCAGAAAAATGATATGATAAGCAAAAACTTTCCGTTTTACATAGTAAAATAATGTAACCATTAAAGAACGAATGATTGCATGCGAAAATGTTAATTATGTATAGATAAATAAATTTCACAATAATAAGATAAACAGCATAACTACCTTCTCATCTCATCTTTGGAAAAGTAGCAAAAAAGAAACAGTGAAGACATAACGCATAAACTGGAGATAAAAATAAACATATAAAAAGGGTTGGAGAAAAAGTTAACTGATAAATAAAACAGTTTTGGATCATTTTTAGAATGGAAAACACTGGACAAATTTTTCTTTGAGAAAAAAAGCACGTCAATCTCATGATTGACAGTCATTATTGATTAGATGTAGAAAATCATTAATTGTAATAGCAAAGTGATGCAGCAATAACATTTGAATAAAAGCAAATAAAACATTAAAGAATTAATTATTCCCATTCCCCTACAAAATAACTACACAGTTGTTGTGTGGTGTAACACATTAAGATATCACTAACAAAAACATTTTATTTATAAAGAATACATGTTATTCATTCCCTTTCTCTCTCTCTCTCCAACCCTTCTTCGCGCACACAAAATGTTCATGATGAATTGAGTTTTTTTCCTACTCAACCTAAACTGTGCATAATAATGGCGCTTCAACGACAAGTGTTGTTCCAATCAATTGAGCAGTAACTGAAAATGGATCTACTGTTTCAGGAACTTCAAATGACTGAGTGAATTCGGCAGTGGAAGTTGATTTTGCATCAGTTTTCTTTTGACAACCAGTTATAACTATACGATTAGAATCCATACGAACGCATAATTCATCAGCTTTATAAATTGGATCTACATTGACTTCAAGATGTAGTTTTCTTCCATTGATGCCATCTTTCATTATTGTTGGTTCAGAACAACCTAGATAAAATTTCAAAAGGTAACAATATATCAATTGATTGTATCGTATCCCTAATTTTAATGTCGTTGTAATGATGTAATGGGATGTAACAACATTTTGCCGATACATATTTGTATCAGATTTTATGTTGTTTACGATTGACTTTGTACACATTCTTTCCTTTCATAATAGATCTGATAAATAAATATCGGTACAAAATTATCAGATATAAAATTACTAATGTAAATTAATACAGCATTGATAATAATTTTGTTTCCAGGACAATGTGTTTTCTTCTTTTTTTAAAAAAAGAAAGAGAAATTTTAATCTCATTATCAATAAATAGATAAGAAGAAAACTCTAGGAATCCGATGAAAACCAATTCTTTTTCATCTTTATTTTAATAAACGTTGAAAAAGTTTCAATCAAAGTATTAATACAAGGATAATCAATAGATAATTATATAAGTGTAAATAATCCAATAAAACTATACTTTATTACAACTTAAATAAGTATCTAGCAAGACTTTTTCAAGGAAATAAATATTCCATATCCTCACATCATTTAAGTATCCATTCAGTAAATTAGATAATTTGGTTTAAAATACTTTTATTTAAAATAAAGAATTTAAATATTTTTCAGAGGTGTACATTATTTTACTTGAACAACTTAACTGAATAACGAATCAACAAAGATGGATAGTGGCTAGCAGTGGAATCCAGGACGCGCGTTTCGTCCTAAATGAGACACGTCAGATGGATGTACCTGTTACAAGTAAAATAACACCTAGTGAATTTAAACTTCACCTCATTGCACAAGCAGGTGGCTATCAGGACTCAGTTGCTAAGTGGATAACGCGACAGCGTTTGGAGCGAACGGTACTGGATTCGAGTTCCGGAATGAACATCAACTCTGGAATGCAGATACATCCAGCTGACGAGTCCCAGATAAAACGGAACGCGCGTTCTGGATTCCACTGCTAGCCACCATCCATCTTTGCTTAAACATCTTGTAACTTAAGGCTACATCGAGGCAATTCGCACAGGATGCACATATGCCAACAAAAGACTGACCAATCGCAGTCCTAAATAACAATCGGGAGATACAATTAGATCAACACCAAGTGGATTTGAATAATGAATAATTTCGAGACTTATTAAGAAAAAAATATACTTAAAAAAAGACAATGTTATTGTTATGTTCGCTACTTAATCAACGCAGGATACGGTATGCAACTACGGCACTCGAACGTATAGGACCCTACAGTCCCAAAATTAGAAGACAGGAGAAAATCGGAAAATTATTTGTTGGGTAAAAATCAAAATGTACAGAAAATCAAGGGTATTTATTGATATTAGCATTTGTTATATGAACATTATAATTCGGCCACAAAGAGGCAAGTTATGCTACTATCCAGTTGTAGCATGCCAAGTTGATATTCTAGAAAGCTCCATCATGTTCTGATTGGACGGAAACTCTTCAACTCTTTTAGGATCTCTGGAGACTCCGTCGTAATTATCGAAAACCGTCCCAACAGTTACATACATATAATATAAAGGTGATCTTATTTAAATGTATTTTGTTAAATAAAGTGTGATTAATTATGTTTTTCATTTAAGATTCATATTGAAGAATTTTGCATTTTTGTTTAAAGATTTTAACAATGAAAGAAAAAAGATTAATGAGTTTGTATGTGTGTTGTTTACACGTATATAATTACAACTAGTTAATTTACATTTTAATAAAAACCATAAAAATGAAATAATCAATAAATTGATTTTTTTTTCCAAATCAATTCATTCAACCAAATAAACACATGAACAAATAGAAGAAAAAAACCCTGTTAAAACTCTATCATAGAAAAGAATATGTAAACTAAATTGATGATGAATGAAAAGAACCGCCTTAATTTTTTCGTTTTTTTATTAAATCATGAATACATTGATTTAAGACAACAGGTTAACAGAGTACAAGAAGAAAGTTAAGGCTGATTGATTTGGATAACAAAGGATTTCAATAATAATAGGTAAAGTTAGAGAATTTTCTTACGAATACGTATGTGGGAACTTTATGTACGTATGGTAATGGATTTATCAATGGGAAGTAAAATCCCAATGCTTTTGATTCAATATGTATAATAAAAAATGATAAACTATGAGTCTTAGTTGAATAGTTAGTATTAGCAAAATGTTGCACTATCGAGTTTTTCTTATGTATTCATTCTTGCCTCTTTTTAATTTAGCATGAAAATATTGTTGAACGCACTTGAATAGAAACTGAATCGAACGGTTGATATACTCAGCCACACAACAAAATGTGAAGTGAGAAATGTAAATTGAAGTGAATGAATTCAACAACTTATCTTTTAAGGCTTTGGAAAAATTAAGTTGACTGAAAATCACTAGTCTCAATGTTTAAGGTAATGATAAAATGTAGTGTTATAGTTATGAGTCACAATTTCTGAAAAGTAGGAATTAACATGTAGATTTATCTTGTAAATTATAGTTTTTCATCTCTTAATCAGCACATCAAGGAAGAACAAAAACGACTGAAAACTGTAACACAGATAGTAGTGAAAAGCCAACAAAAAGTAAGGAAGGTGGAAAGAATTGAGAAAAAAGTTCGAGAATGGAAGACGTAAAAAACATAATGTTTAAGAATTAGAAGGATGATGAAGTACCATTGCAATTAATTATAAACTATTGATAATGGTCATTTTTTTGTACATCTCAAACCAACCAGTCAATACCTTGATGAACTATAACAGTTTCTTGACCCAGCAGTAGTAATACATTCAAACATTTCGAGAAATTCTTTAATGTTAAGCTGCATAGATTTTAGTGGATCAATGTAGTAAACAAAACTTTCTGATCATTTCTTTTGATGAAGGCTTATTACATCAAGTAATTAATACCTTGAAAGTACTTATGGATGAATTCTTTAAGAATATATTAAATGATTAGTTGTTCACTGTCTAAAAAGGTTTTTAATCAATTAAATCGCTATTAATCGCGTAGTCAAACCGACTCCGAAAACAAATGCTTTTAGTTTACTAATAATATTCACATAATGTATAAATTATTTTGGAAATATGCTAGGATTCAGAAATCCACCAACCACTTGTTTCATAGCCCTACTTGTAAAACAGACCTTGAAATTATCCATATAATCATGATTGAACAACAGTTTAAATGAATAGTAACTAGATGAAAGATATGGCTTGACAGGAACTCATTGTTTTCCTCAGAATGACTGGCTGTTTAACCAAGAATTGTTTTCGATATCAATAATATCATATAAAGTCATATCATAAGTTGAGGCTAAGACATCTTCATTATAATACTGGACAGCAATGATTTAGCAAAATTCATAATAAAATATAGAATCATAGTGATGCAACTAACCGGTTACAGTTAAACAGACTGGTGTTTTATTACTATTAGGAGTGGCTTTTATCTCAGATTCAGCACGTGGTCGGATGCCAAGTTGACGATCATCTTGAAATGTGATTGTTCGATAGTCAGGAGCTTTAACAGGTGCATCTAGTATCAATACACCATCCTGTTAATAATAAAAAATTCAAATCAATAAAGTGAGTTTCAAATAACAATTTATAAACTCTGTGTTAAAGGAGAAAACTGTAAGTGCTTGTTCTTGAAATAAGTATCTTAAAATGAATCTAAAAAAGCATCTGGGTGTAAAGGTAGGATGACCGAAATGTGTTAAGTGACTAGTGTCCCAATTACGAAAATGACTTGGTTACAATATCTCCAATGGACGAATTCACAGACAATCAATCTATCAGTTATAAACAAGGTGGAACCTTGTACGATTTTGTCTTTCGGTCTAATTTGTCATGCCACAATAAGAAACGGAATTTACTGAATGAAAAATCAGGAATGATTGGGAGTAATAATATGTTTGAAAGTAGAAACTAAACTAGAGAAGTATAGTTTGAAAGGAATAGATATGATCGGAAAATGAAGACTATGGAGTAGTACCAAACACTAAATCTAAAGGAAAATAAATAATGAATATATGTGCACCACTGAAACTGACTTAGTCCCGTGTCAATTTAAATCTTCAACAAGAGAGTACAATTATTCATTGGGCTCCAGTGGAGAATATTCACAAATTCACACAGGTCTAAGCGGCAGGCAATGACTACATAGGGTATGCAATATTGCTAATGTAGCCACCTTATTCCAAAATAATTCTACAATTTATTTATTTATTCTGAAGAATGGACCTACATTAAGTCACGAAACGTCAGAAATACAAATTTCTACTCCTTGTAGTATCACAAAAATATATTTATCATTACTTCTACAATAACCAATGTAGGAAGGATTTGAATGTGACCAACTTGGTCTCGTGTGCTGTTACGGGTATGAGGGCTGATGTCACTTCCCGGCTGCCCACACCGTGGAAGGGTATTTCTTGAGGAACCTGAAAAGGAAATTGGATTAGTGTTGGTCTTGACGACCTGGGAGCGTGACCGCAGAGCCCAAGGGACAACTGCTTGAGGCCGGTCGCGCACGGCCTTTTTGTGGAAGGTTTTTGACGTGTTAGCTCCGTTCTTCAAAGGGCCTTACCGCCGAAGACGGAAATCCGTGAGGTAGGGTGAGGTGTGACATTTTTAGGGTCGACCTTTTCTAACCCCACTCCTCCTTGTGGGAAGGCAGCATCGCTGTCATGCTGGTTGTCCGAGGGAAACACCTTACTGCTGTCACACCTCCCTACAGTCAGCAGTACGACTTCGCCCTCAGACCTTGAGTTGCTGCTTTTAGTTTTACCGTTCACCAATCGACCTGCCTGGCATGGTAGAACCTACAGGAACATATATTCCAGCCAATATAGCTCGGTTGGGTCATCACGATTACTGCTTATACTCTTGCTACCTCTACCACTACGGGATTTGAATCGACAACTGCATCTCTGTGCCAAGGTGGTGTGGCAACTCGAACTGATGTACATACGTACGAAGTTCTACGTTGTTACTGACTGACTGACTACAATAACCAGCATTGTGTGTCGGAGTAAGTAGTATCTAAGTACTCGCAGTAATGAAAGCTGATGACCTGATCAAGAGAACTATTACATCTAATCAAACCCTACGCTTAAGTTCACAACTACACAGTTGGTAGTCCCGCGACAAGTGAACAGTCATTTAAGCATATTATTTGACGAAATATTCTGAAGACTATTCATGTCTTCTACCTTCCTAGACTATCTTTTATAGCTTTAAAGCAAAGCACAGTATACGAGCTCTTTGATGATCACGCAAGCGTCCTTCTTGTGTTATAAGTAGTACAAGATGAAAACACCCTACCAAGCTTTTTATGTTAATCCAGAGATTTCGCTACTATGGTTGGTGAGGCCTCTGACACGAATCAAGTGGCTTAGCTACTCGACCATTTCGTCCCCTATTGTCCGACTAACTATAAGTCCAAAATGACTGATAGCATATGTTTTGTCGATTTCAGATACGAATAACAGCTAGAGAAAATCATCAATATTAAGTACTTGAGAAATAAGTCGTTCACTTTTTAGTAGTTAAAGATGCTGAACACTATAATTCCATTTACTGAATAATCCTATACTATTTAAAATGGAAATTGTATTTGTTGTATTTTCTTTAAAACAACGGTTCCTCGAAATCATTGATAAGAGTATTAATACACTGATAAACCGGTCAGTTTTTGAATTGACACTATCAGACTCATGATACTTTATTCAAACAAATTATGAAGGTAGAAATTTGATAAACAACACTTGACAATAGATTAGAGTGGAAGAGAATATACATTCCCATTGTCGATGAACTGTTTAATTATTATAAACCTGAATCCAAGGCAAATTTCAAGAGAGATTTTGCTCAATTTAACTGTAGTTGAGTGAGAAATGTGCTACTTTGCTAATTAACTGAATCTGAAAACTCAGGCCATTTGGATCCGAATTCAGTGTCTCAACGATATTGTACCCTGTGATATCCAATTCGTGATCATGATCACTTACAGATTTTCTTGTACGTGGTGTTGAAGAGTCTTAAACTAGGGAGAACACAGCTATCCGATAGCTCAATGATTTTCTAGTTCATCACTCATATTTCTATCGTACAAGTAGACATGTTTAATTTTATAATGAATCCTATTATTTTAATCATAACTAATTAAGTCAGTCTAAAGTCCCTCCAAGATTATCATTGAGATTTTCAACTCTATTCATTAAAAGCTGACTTCATATTGCATCCGAGTGCCAAACGAAGGTTTAGTCAGTTTGATTTATCAGATCTTACAGGAGATTGAGATAACTGTTGTTTTCTGTACAGTGTTGTCTATTGGTGAATGACATACATATCTCTTCTACACTTGAAAGGATTGTTATCATAGTACCGTTTTCTGTATGCGTGTGTGACAATGTTTAGTGTTAGCAATCAATACCTGCTAAAGAGTGTTATCCCTTATCTATAATTACAGTCATTTCTATTAATCACACTGAAGTTCATACAAAGTAGTATAGTTCTTAAAGAAACGATTACATACACACATGCATACATACATACAAACATTATTATTACCATTATTATCAATATCATTATTATACAAAGAATATCTAGGCAGTTTTGAATAATGACTGTTATTTAGCCTCAACGTTTAAAAGTGAAACTTCACACATGAGTAAATTTATGCATACAGATGGAAACTACCTAAACCAATTAGACATAACGGATTCATATAAGATTATTAAAATTGTAAACAGAATCGTTTTAGGCAAAATTTCTTGAACACTTCATCTTAAATTACCCATCTCAATGGGCGTGGTCACTGGTCAAGAAGAGAAAACCTCTAGTTTCACTCACTCAGTTCGTATTCAGTTTAAATGAAAAAAATAAGTTCATTCTGTTACAGCAGGATGTATGAGTTATTTAGTTCTACTTTAAACAAATAAAATTTGATAACATGTACCGATCAATGTTAGACCACCATTGAAAATATGGAAGCACGGGACGACCATTTCGTCCTAGCATGGGTCTCTTCCAGGTTTCCAATGCTGGTCTAAGATTGATCGGTTCATAATCTCAAATAAAACTCAACAATCTCCACAAACCTAAACTGAAAATTTAAAAAAATTGTAAAAATTGAACACTGAAAGGATTTCCAAACACTTATCATTTCAATATTTATGTGATAAATTGTAATAAACAATGAAACAGTTCCATTTTATAAAAATCAATAAGGAATTTTAGATTCTGTACAGACTCTAAACAAATGTTTAGTAAGAATATGCAATATTATTCTTGTATAAAAAGAGTAATCAGGAGTAGTGGTATTCGAGTGAACGAAACTGTTTACTGATGCAAACAAGAGTAAAGTAAAATAAAAATTATAAACTAAATCTAATGAAAGACCTTCGAATTAGATATCTGGAGATATAATGTAAACTGGCAAACTGGGTTAGTCAACTGATGAAAGTTATTTGCTTCGTAATGTGCTTGCTGTTCATATTCATTCCTATGCGAATAGTAACTACAAAGACAAAACTACCAATTAATTACGTCATTACACAGGCTTAACTAACATAATATTAGTTATACTCCTATAACTAAACAACTAAGTAATCAAGCTCCATTTTAAACGTTACAATAATCACTCGACCTGACCTTGGTGGGCATTTCTGTATTTAGAACTTACTTCGTAGTAATCACTCACAATATAACATATAGAAACTATTCTATAATCTCATTAAGTATCATGGGTTGTACGATATCATTCAGTTATTGAATTTACTTCTTAATAAATTTCATTAAGAAAAATAACACAAACCATTTATAATGTTGAATTCACAAGTCAACTAAGCTAGACCATCATTGAAAACCTGAAAGCCCAGGACGGCCATTTCATTCTAGTATGGGACACTTCAGCAGTGCACATCCACAATCCCGTACGTGGGACTCGAATCTAGTGTAGGGTCAGCGAAATATCACTAAGCCCTAGCCAAGTTATCCGGCAGTTGGGTCATTGAATATTGAGCAAATCATCGATCCTCATCAAGGTCAGAGACAACCAACTCGCATCAGTTAGTCGTATGCCATGGACTGGCCCATGCGGCGGTGGTCCTACTTTCGCTTGTATCTACTTTAACTAATATATTTCTGTAATAACGTCCTCTGTGTTGTACAGTCTTTAAAGCATCTATGGTGCCTTGATACGTCAATGGGGTAGTCCACGAAAGCGCTGACCACGAGGTGAGACTTCGACGTTAGCTAGTTTGTCACACCATTCACGTCTAACTCGAGTAGGCCTCCAATCATTTTCGACATAGATCATCTACGCTGGTGATCTAACTTAGGATACTAGGTCTCGCGCGTGAACGCTTAACCTCTAGATTACTGAGCCAGCATCCAACAGTGTTAAAGTTCAACCTCAATAGATCCGTGATCTTGAGCAACTCTTTACCCATTTAATCATCAATATTATATTTAAAAAATAGTGTAATCATAATAAATATCTACAAAATAAATTATGTGTCTTATTTAGTGTTGAGTTGTTTACCCTTAACTTTTTGTTATAAAATAATAAACATTCAAATTGTTCATCAACTTATTTATTCTTGTAACCATAATAAAAGAATATTGATTGTTTAGAAAACTTCCATCAATAAAATATTTGCAGAACTTTTAAAGTACATTTATCATAAGATTAAAATTTATAGATTTTATTGTTTGTTCTCCATAGAGTAGTATTTTTAAAGTTCAATTTAACCTTGAACTCCGTTTAAAATAAGACACAGTAATATAATTTCATAATAAAATAACATGAATTTACCAACTATTGACTGATAAGATACAATCTAAATTTTATACAACCTAATGGAATATTTTTTTATAAACATTGCTAAAGTTGTGAACGGAAACTATTATATTTCCACCAAACAATCTAAAGGTATCCCCGTGAAACTGACCCACCCCCTGAGTACTATGTGTAACTGTGAATGTACAATGAATAAGGAGTTGCAAACTAAGATCGACAAGTCCTACAATGATCTCCAGATTTACTAATTCTTAACACCACGTTGACTCTATAAAGTGGAATTCTGTATATGACACTTTTTTTTGTTTATGAAAGTTACCCTCTGTTAATGACACAAAATTCATCCAGTGTTATATATTTGAAGTTTTCATTCAAGCTGGTATTAGCTTGTACCTACGCTTATTTCCAGAAACCAAGCCCACCAGCTGGTACCAGCTGGTATTAGCTTGTAGATCTATTTATTCTAAACTGAGTTTAAAATTAGTTGTTTCAATTTTTAGAAAAATACGTCAGTGAAAAAACTAAACTATGGGCTCAAGTTTTTGAAATAATCCAAAACGTCGTGATTAGTCATTATCACCGCACTGATGTCTGGCTTCTATATTCCTGCTCAGGTCCCAAAAAGACTACTTGTGGGCTTGGTTTCTGGAAACAAGCGTAGGTAAGTTCCTCAAGCCGCTCATACAGTAGAGTGAGATTCATCTTAACCACCTTAACGACTACAAACATATTCTGTTTTTTCACTAAACTAATTATAAATCACATCATTGATAAAAGAACCCACAGTATGTATGTAGTCTGAAAACTATAGTTTGCTTTTGATGGAGTTTTGTTCTCTGAGCTGGATGGCTTGGTCGTGGAGCTTTCATCGTTCTTCTAAACGACATCATCAGCACAAACTTTAGATAGAAGTGAAGTGTTCGAATTTCTCCATATGCGTTTGCCCACTTCTATATCAACATTGAAAATTGTTCTATGTTTACTATGAATATAATAATTAATTTTTATATAATAAAGATGTATTGTGCACATTACAATTTCTTAAATTTTCCAATGATATTGAACAGAAACTAATATCATGATTATTGTTAATTGATTTTATTCAGTTTGCTGTATAATATAGCTTACTCATTAACTCCGCCTGGAGTCCCTCCGGGGGCTACTGCCGGTCCCAAGCCCGGGGTAAAGGAGGAGGGTCGGGCATGGGGTTAGCGACCCCATCCCGTAGAAAACTAACTCGCTAAAAAAACGCTAACCAGAAAAAATTATTCAAGTAAGTAAGCTTATTCATTGAAAAACTAATTATATTTTACTATGAATATTAAGGATAAAATTAATCTTACCTCTGTCATATGACATTGAAAATTTTCATGATCAATTGATCGTGGTAAATCAACAGAACGATGAAATTCACGTACAGTTGTTGAATTGCCTGATTTAATTGATTTTTTAGCATGAACTCGTAGATGATTATCAACTGTAGTCACTTCAATATCTTCTGGTAAAAAATCTTTTGCATCAAATCGTACTTTAAAATGTACCTTAATAGAGAAATATAGAATAAAAGATAAAATAGTACATACAAATCTCGATTTTTTTTTGGTGTTGAAAAAACATCAATTCTATTTAAAAGAATAAGGAGAAAGTTTAACAAATTCTAACTGATTTATATAAACAGTAGATTAAATTCATTTTGTATTGGTTGTTTAAATCTTTCCATTGATGTTTAGGACTGCGATTGATCAGTCACTTATTGGTATATGTTCATGCTGTGCGGACTGACTCGATATTGCTTTAAGTCACAAACATTATAAGCAGAGATGGATGGCACCTAGCAGTAGAATCCAGGACTCACGTTTCATCTTATTAGGGACTCGTCAGCCGGATGTACCTGCATTCCAGAGTTGATGTTTACCCACCATCAACTGTTGCTTCAAACGCCGACCCGTCATCCACAAAGTATCAAAACTCCAGATGGTCACCTATTCAAACCTTTATAAATAGTTTATTTCTTAATAGTGTTTATAATATTTATTTGTAGCTTATTCGATATTTAAAAAATTAGGCTGAATAAATTTGAAACACAAAAATGATAGTATCTAAATTTAATTGTGCATATTCAAGGGGTTCCGTTCTGTAACTTAAGTCTAAAGGAGAATCGAGAAGAGAAAGACAATATGAAGCTCATGAGAAAAACTTCGGGAATCCTCTGATTCAGATGGTTTAATTGTGTAAGTAAAGTTTCAAAAGGTGATTTATTAAGTAAAAACTAAATCATTTAACCAATTAGTTATCGTTCCATACAGTTTAGAGAATGTGACACTTCCAAGCAAATGAAAACCTGAATTGAAGATTGATTTTGTGATAGAAAAAATATATTTAATGATGACTTTTATATTTGACTGCGTCACAGACGATAAATTCACCAACTCATTTATTGCATTCTTTTCACACGATTGATAAACTATTATAAAATCATTACCTCTTCAGAATTCTGATTAGAACAACAAAAGACCAGATGACCAAATATGAGTACTGCTAAATTATTCTGACATATGACTCATGCAATTATACAGGTATCAAACTATATAGTAATCAAATTTAACAATCCAACTAGGATTGATTAATAGTTGACTGATAGTTACTTGTTTATCCATATATATCATACAACAATGATAAGTTAAAGCAATTAGTTCCTCTTATAAATTTCGATAGAGCAATCAGGAGATAGAGTCGGTCAACTCCATCTTCTAATTGCTCTATAGAAATGAAAAGTTAAAAGTTTATTTGAATAAAAAATCAATAATATTCAATTTCATTTTGGAGATTTTTATAATTTCACTCTTGTAACTCGAAAAAAAAGAAAAAAAGAAAACAAACTTATTAACCCCATGACAAATAACACTAGTCAACTATGCTTTAACCTTGAATAATGTTAGGAATTAGTTTATTAAACTATAATAGTTAATTTAAAAAATCACCATATACACAAAATAAAAAACAAACAAACAGCTGATCGGTCATGATAGATAATTTAATGGTAAAAGTAAGATAACTATAAGGATGCAAAGAAGATTATTCAGTTAATCTTTGATATTTCAAAAATGATTTGGCAAATGATATTTATAGATTTAATCCAACTAAAGCTTCCATTCGATGTTAATTGATAATTTGTAAAAGATAAAGTAAGCAAATATAATTTTCAAACTCACTTGACATTGTTTACTTGAATCTTCCCATTGATGTTTAGGACTGCAATTAGTCAGTCTCTTATTGGTATATGTGTATACTATGCGTATTGCCTCCGTTCGCCTTAATTCACAAGCATTATAAGCAAAGATAGATAGGACCCAGTAGCTAAGTGGATAACGCGACAGAGTTTGAAGAGAATGGTACTGGGTTCGAGTCCCAGAATGAACATCAAATCTGAGATGCAGGCACATCTAGCTGACGAGTCCCAAATAGAACGAAACGCGCGTCCTGGATTCCACTGCTAGCCACTATCCATCTTTGCTTATAAATATAGTTTTCTTTCAGATTATATCCGTCAAAATTTGATCTCAGTTGAAATACTACTGGAATCAATGGAACCGAACGTCCTGAGTTCGAGTCCCATGTGCGGGATCGTGGATGCGCACTGTTGAGGAGTCCCATACTAGAACGAAAAGACCGTCCAGCACTTCCAGGTTTTCCATGGTGGTCTAGCTAAACTCGACTCATGAATCCAACGCTTAATGTAATTTTATCGAGTATTTGTATAATTCCAAGATAAAATTCATAGTATAAGTTTAAATGAGGAACATTTAAAAAATTAATAAACATGGAACAAATGATTTTTTCATCTGATCTGAAACTTCACAGAATTATGCACCCATCAATGGTAGGACTTTGAATAATCAAGATAGTCATGATACATTTGGATCAATACTTCAAAAACACAATAATCCATATTTTTTATGAAATCTCTTTTTAAAAGTAAACAAGTGTTTAATCATTGTCTAAATTAAAAATTTATTTAAGTACTATTATCTATTCTAATTACATTGTTAGCTTATAAATATTGTACATGTACAAACAGAATAGTTGTGATCAGTTTAGGTTCTTATCATTTGTTTTCACCTAACATGTAGAATTAATGATGAAACAGAGTGTTCACTGTATCCTAACAAGTGTTCATATCAGAAATGAAACGATAATTTGTCACTCACATAAAACAACAACCAATAAATAGGAATTCTAAACTCATCAAGTTAAAGGATCTTCTAACGTGGACGATGATGACACAAATATATATATATATATATATATATATATAATTTGCTTATACATTACGTTTTGGTTAGAAGTTACATTTTAAAAAGTTATTTTAGTTTTGTTCACGCTTGCACCTTCATTAGAGATAATGTATCAATGTAAACTGAAACTCAGAATCTGTAATTTTGCTTTATTACACTAAACATCGGCAATATATGTATATTTGTATACTTCTTCAGTAAATATAAGTTGTTACAACAGTTCAAAATATTTCTGTCCACTTTGCAAAATTTCAAGTATCAAAAGACAACAGAAGGTAAATATCTTTGTGATATTCAAGTTTACTTATTGAAATGGTAGAGAAGATTCGTAACTTCGATGGATAATTTTAGCGAAGTTGTATTTTCTGGGTTTGGTTGTTTTATTTTGACGCTTTCATCATTCATTTAGGAAACATCATTAAAACAAACTTTAATTAAAAGTAAGCCATATTACATCTTCATATTACTTAGGCGAAAAAAAGTGCACATCTAGACAAATCGAGCACATATTGTGATAACAATTCAATCAACCTCTATCATGTTTTTATATTTATGGTTTTACCCTTAAAATTTAGCGTTAGAGTTAAAAGAAAGAAAACATTATTCATTTTAATACTAGCCAGTGAATATTGTGAACAGATGCTTCTACTTGGTATTTTTCCCTTTCCTTTGTTTAACTTCAATAACAAAGAAAACAGCGGTAAAATTTTTTTAAAATCTACCTAGATTAATTCTGTAAAAACTCACCAATAACTTATATGTTTTCTAATGTATGAAACCTGATCATCCGAGTATGGATAAGACCATTGATAATACAGAAACACAGTGAAACTATATCTACACCACATTGCTTTTTTATAACCGATTTAGTCATTTTTTATGTATGCACAATAAAGCTACTGATAACTGCATTTGGCTAAACTATTAACAAATATTAAGGCAAGAGGAAAATTGTGTCCAAATTGTAGATCAAACGTATCCTAATCAGATTTCAGTAAGCTTGGAGCATACAAAATCCAGGTACAGTTCCAAGTTATTTTTAACTGATAACAAATACATAGAAGTGTAGACTTGAATGTGAAATTTTATCCATGTAATGCTAATCTTATGTTAATGTATTGATAATGCGATATTTATGGTAAAAATGTAATTCTTATGTCATTTGGTTGAATAGATGAGTCATCGTTTAGTGTCAAGTGTATTGTTTCTTCCAGTGAATTTATTTTTATGCCGCTTTATATTAGTCATACAAATGTGTTAATATACCAAAGCTTATCACTTAGCCTAAAAATAAGTTTAGTTAAATACTTTGTTAAATAATGAAAAAACATCAAAAAAAAAGAACTACAAGCCATATATCATTTGAAAAGTGCACAAGATTCTGTTGTTAGGCTTCAATAGGTCGGTTGTCATAGGCGGCTAAACTACAGACAGCTTACTAAGTTAATACATATCTCTGTATTCAAACTTAGATAGAAATATGGTAAATAGACAACCATCAACTAAGTAACACGACTAGGCAAGAATCCCTATACACATATATGTATGTTTAAATTTACTTATGTAATGAAATCCTAAAAGTTGCACGCATAAGCTCAAAACAACAAAAGATAATAACAACCGGTATTATCTTTTAAATTGTAATCAATATTGAAATTATCGTATTAAAAATAACAGCCAAAACGTAACAGCAGATAATAATTTATGGATGAACCTAGAAAATTAAAGACAGCCAATGTTGGATTTTGGCGCGAAGTTCATTCATCCATTTGGCTACATAGAGTTTTGGCATTAAAGTTCATCTCAGTTCATGATGAAAACCCTAAGTCTAATTTCTAACCCTAACTTCTAATCCTCAATCCAAATCCTCATTCCCAACACTAATCTATAATTCTCTTCTGACCCTAGGAAGTAGGTGAATTTTCTTAAGTTCACTTTTGGTGTCGCTTAATAGTCGCAATAAATTATAGTCTCGCTGATAATTGAAAGTTTATTTGGCATAACGAAGCAACCAAGAGAACAATATTGACAAATGGGAATTTTGTGTCAAAATGTAAAAATAATAGAAGGAAATCCCGATCGATGGTACACCATGATTTAAAACCTGGAAGCACTGAACGGCTGTCTCATCCTATTGTGGGATTCCTCAGCAGTGCTCATCCACGACCCTGCACGCGGGATTCGAACCCAGGGCCCTCGGTCTCGCGCGCGAACGCCCAACCCACTGGACCACTGAGCTGGTATCC